GGGTGGGCATGGATGGAGGAGGCAGGCCCGCCCAGGAGAGCGGGGTCTTAGAGACCACAGGTTGCCAAGGTCAGGGAGCCCGCAGGGAGGGCGCTGTGGTCAGGCAGGCGGGTGCCCCAAACACTAACTCACGTCCCCGGCCTATTCCCCACTCCCGTGGGCGTCCAGCGCTCTGTGCAGGGGGGCAGCCTCTGCAGGTACATCCATCAGAAGCTCTGAACACGCCCTTGTTTGGAAAAAGGGTCTTAAGGTGATTGATCCGTGTAAGGATCTCAAACTGAGATCTGCTGGGTGATTCGCGGGGCCCCGGAGATAGTGAATGGAGCATCCTTACGAGAGGGGCAGAGGGTGAAGCCGCGTGCTGGCAGAGGCAGAGGGTGTGGTGACGTGACCACAGGCCCAGGACTGCCTGGACACATGGGAGCTGGGGCAAACGGGAAGGAAGCTCCCCGGAGCCAGAGGGAGCCTGGCCCTGCCGGCACCTTGACTGCCTGCGGCCCCAGAGCTCGGAGAGAATAAACCTCTGCTGTTTTAAGTTGCTGGGTCTGGGATACTTTGTCACGGCAGCCCTTGGACGTTCGCATCGCGACTGTCACAGCTAGAAAGATTGCTGCTCCCACTCCGCGGAGAGGGGAGGAGAGGGGTTGGCAGGGCTCGGACAGGCCATGCTCCCCGGGGGTAAGGCGAGCTGTTGGGGGAACAGTTGCCCTTCTGCTCTGGGGCCTCCTGGTCCCCTGGGGTCCACCGGGTGATGTGAAACCCTCCCCTGCTACTCCACCTGCTGCCACGGGGGACAGTGAAAATGGCCCCTTGGAGCCTCCGCCTCCCGCCTCGGGGTCACCAAGCGTGTCCGAGCGTGTCGGTGGTATGTGGCCTGGGGCCCGGCTGGGCTGGGGGTGTGAGGGGCCGGAGCGCTGGGCCCGGGTCTGCTGGGGGCCCCCCAGTGGCCAGCACTGCCCGTTGAGGGGCTGAGGCTCCACACTGGCCCTCGGTGGGGGCCCTTCCAGCGTGAGGCGCCCACATGCCCGTGGCGTCTCTGGCTGTGCCCCTCACGCTTGGGCTCTGGCCCACTGGGGATGGGAGGGGAGGTTGTGACTTTGGGGCGACCATGTATAATGCCGGGAGTTGGTCGGATAAAGGCAGACGGTGCGGGAGGGGGGCAATCAGAAATAGCCTGCTTTGGGCTCAGAGCGGATCTCAGCCTGAATGAGAGTGCCCCCAGGGAGCAAGTGTCTGTAGACAGGCGTGGTTGCCACCCTGGGGTCAGCTTCTAGTGACAGAGGCCAGGGATGCTGCCCGGACCCCTGGGTGCACAGGGCAGCTTCTCCCCAGGACAGAGAGCGAGCGCCCCAAACACCAGCAGTGCCGGCGTTAGACACCGTGCTCAAGGATCTCAGGGTCTGTCAGACCTGGATCCCAGCTCACCCTCCATTTGTCACCAGCCTTGGGCCTCATCCTCTCCTCAGCCTCAGTTTCCCTGTCTGTGAAATGGGCACATTAGCACTTAATTTAGACATTGTTCCTGGTCAGGAAGCCAGGCTGTGCCTCTCCCAAGCTTGGGACAGAGAAGGTGGCCTCCTGGGTTTGGGCTGGGGCCAGTAACCAGAGCCCACCCCCTGCCTCTGCGAGGGCCTGAGAGCCGATGGGCGGGTAGGGCCGGGGCTGACCCCGGTTCAGTTCTTGGTGCTTGTCTGACAGCCAGGAAATCCAGCCCTGCCCCCCGAAGTTAAACCCCTGCTCTCAAACTCAGGTTAGGCCTGGAGCCAGTGGGAAGACAAGAAAGGAAGGAGAGCTTGTAGGCAGACCCCCAGCTGTCCCCAGTATGTGTTCCCATTGATTGTGTCACTGGGCGGGGCAGCAGTGGGAAGGAACCACGTGTCTGTCTGTGCACACATGTGTGGACACATGGGTGCACGTGTGTGCGTGGATGCACGTGTGTACACATATGCACTGCACACGTGTGCACGGATGACTCTGTGAGTGTGTGCGCACATGTATGTGCACATGTGTGCATGTAAATGTGTGCACGTGTGTGCATGTAAATGGGTGCACATGTGTGCAGTATGTGGAAGAGGAAGAGAGAGCAGGGCTGAGGTTGGCAGGGCAGCTGTCCGACTTCCCCAATCCTGGCAGCTGAGGCGGGAGCCTGGGCGGCCCCTGGCCGCCACCTCCGAGCCTGGACACCCGGCAGCAGGCAGGCGGGTCAGGGCCTGGAGCCGGCCCAGGCTGGAGCTAATGATCAACCAGCCCTCAGAGGCGGCGCAGCAGCTCAGGCCTGCCTCTCGCCGGGCCCAGGCGCAGGGAGGAAGTGGGGCAGGAAGCAGGGGGCGGTGGCGGCCGCTGTGCAGTCCGCTGGGCTGTGGGCGGCAGAGACGGCCTGCGGGCCCGCCAGCGAGGAGCCGGGAGCGGCCACCTGGTGCCCGCTGTCCCACGGAGCGGGGCGCAGGTACGCGGCTCTGGGCGGGCGGGTGAGAGCGGCTGAGCGGGCACCGTCCACAGAGCCGGGTCTTGCCACAGGTGGGTCTGAGCTGTCTCCTGCTTTTCACTTTCTCAGAGAGTTTTCTGAGCTTTCAGGATCGGGAGGGAACAGAACTGGTGTCTGGAGAGGCCGGAAGGCTGTGGGCGCTGGCTAGCGGAGCTCCGGGAGGGCCCCTTGGCCGCCGACAGCTATTGTCCCAGTGCTGATGTCGGTTTTGCTAAAGCACCGCCGCTCTGAGATCTCACCTGACCCCACTCCCCTCGGCCACCCAGACACCCGTCCCGAGGGTCTGGCCAGGACGCAGGAGCTGTGTCGCCAGCAAGCAGGGTTCCAGGCCCAGGGGCCCTCAAGTGGGCCCCCACCCTGGGTTGGCGCCACCTCTGGCAGACACCACAAATGCCAGACCAGGGAGGCAGTGCAGCTGTGACCCAGCCACTCTGAGGTCACCACCCTGGGCCTCCTCCCCATCAACCACAGGTACGGGCGACTTGATCGGGAACCCCGGCCGGACAGCTCTAGGGAGACCCTGACCCAGGCTCTTCAGTGCCAGGGCTCCCCTGGTGGCTCAGACGGTAAAGAGTCTGCCTGCAAGGCGGGAGACCTGGGCTCCATCCTGGGTCGGGAAGAGACCCTGGAGCAGGGCATGGCAACCCCGCTCCAGTGTTCTTGCCTGGAGAAGCCCCGTGGACAGAGGAGCCTGGTGGGCTGCAGTCCGTGGGGTCGCAGAGAGTCGGGCACGGCTGAGCGACTGAGCACCCACCCTGGGCGTGTGGTCCCGGCACGTCACCCAGACCCTCTCCCCGCCTGCAGTGACCCCTCTGGGAGCCCCAAGCCCCGTCTGTGGGGGTTTCACCGATGACACATGGGCGAGAGACACTGAGAGGAGTCAGAGCTGCCGGTCACTTGGGTGGGGCCTCCCCCAGCGGGGGTGGGGGGCTGTGGCTGAGCTCGTGGATGGAGGCAGTGTGGGGGCCAGAGGCGCGGTGTGCCCAGGCTCAGGGTGGGTGTGGAGGGCTGGACTCAGACCCGCCTGGGTTCAAATCCCACCAGCGCGCCCCCCAGCCCTGCATCCCAGGCCCGTCTGAGTCAGCATAGCTGCTCAGGGAGCCTCGCTGGCCCCTCTGTGAAATGGGCCCGTCACGCTCCCCCGGGCGTCACGAGGACCGAGTGAGGCCCGCAGCGCTGCAGGTGGCGGCTCCTGACAGTGACGGCACTTCCTGCATCGGGGCCCCGGCCAGTGCTTATGGCCGAGCTCACTTACTCCTCCTCCCGAAACGCCCGCTTCCCAGCAGAGAAGGCAAGCACAGGGACCCGGGCCGGCAGCTGGCCTGGAGCTGCTGTGACGAAGGGCCACAAACGCGGGCTTCTAACACTAGAAGGTCACTCTCCCCTGGTTCTGGAGGCTGGAAATCTGAANGGGGGGGCAGGGAGCCCTGGGGGAGGGTCCTTCGGCCCCTGGCGGCTGCAGGCATCTCTGGGCTTGTGGGCACGTGCCCCTGCTCTCTGCCTCCATCCTCACCCGGGGTGCCCGCTGTCTGTGTTCCTCTTCTTACAAAGAGCCCTACAGGGAGGGCCCCTTCAGTGCAGTGTGATCGCATCTTATTATTTTTAGTATTTACGTATTTAGCTGCCCCAGATCCCAGCTGTGGCACGCTAGCATCTTCAGTTCCGGCCTTTGGACTCAGTTGCGGCATGTGGGATCCGGTTCCCTGAGCAGGGAGAGATCCAGCCCGAGCCCCCTGCACTGGGAGTGTGAGGTCTTGGCCCCAGGCCGCCAGGGACGTCCCCAGCGCGACCACACATTAACTCCATCCTGTGTCTGAATAAGGCCACCCAATCTGAGGTCACTGGTGGGCGTGAGTGCGGGGATGCGCCGGTCGCCTTCTCTACTGAGGTCGCCAGACATCCCTGGAGAGATGCTTCCTGGGGAGGTGGATGAGGTCTGCGTGGTCCTCGAGGCTTTTGTTCAGGACAGGTTCAGATGCAGTCGGGGACAGGCAGCCTCTCCCGCTGAGCAACGCTGTTTTAGGGCCCTCCCCGGGGAGAGAGAGCCCAGTTCCTCCTGCGGGCCAGAACTAGGAACCCCAGGCTTACGAATGTCAGCAGCAGCCCCGCCTGGTGGGCAGGCCCCTCGCTGAGCAGGTGGGAAGTCCCCTGAGCCCCAGAGCCTTCCCTTTTCTCCGGAAACTGTCCCTGAGCTGCTGGGGGCAGGCCCGTGGGACTGGGATGCAGGTGCTGGTGGGCTGGTCCTGACGTCTCAGGGGGCAGGTGGGCAGGGGCTGGGGAAGAGAGATGCCCTGGATGTGGGCTGTGCACGCCAGATGCCTGGCGGCAGAGAGGGGAGGGCGAGAGCCCTGGCTGGAGGCTAGAGAGACCCCACAAACAGGATCCGAGCAGGACGACGGGTCCGCATGCCCTCCTGGGATGCTGCAGGACGGCAGAGCGGGCGGCCCCCTGCGTCCAGAGTCAGGAGGGGAGGGCGACAGGGGCCCGCTGGGCTGGGGGCGGGTGCGGGCGTCAGATGGACGGCGCTGCTCCTCAAAGAGGCTGGGAGGCCTTCGTGTGTGACGAGGGAGGGGGACGGCCCCCGGGAGCAGGAAATGGGGAGCACAAGGCAGAGGGGCTTGAAATGACGCTGGACGCTGACCAAAGGCGGCTGCAGAACTCTGCGGCAAGGCTGCGTCCCAGAACCCGAGGGTCCACGCTGCTGCGCCCTCTGATCAGGGGCCCCCTCCAGCCTGCTCCCTCCTCCCTGGGAGTGCCTACAAGGGTGCCAGGGTCCCCTGGGTGCCCCTTGGGGCCAGGGGCTTCCATGCCCCTGCCCGCCCGGGTCCCTGGCTCTTAGAGGTGGTTGGGGGCTGGGGACCAGGTCACAGCCAGACGGCGCCCTACACCCTGCTTTTCCCTGCAGCTCGGAGGCAGGCAAAGGGGAGCCAGGGTAATGCCTGCCAGAAACACGGCCTTTCCTACTCCTGTGTTAAATCCGTGAGAGCAGTGAAGCTGATTCTGGGGAAAGGAGTCAGAGCAACTTGGGATGAGCTGAAGCAGGCCCCCCAGCCAGGGAGCTCTCTTGTCTTGCGTGGGGGAAATAGAGGGTCCGAGGCAGCGGGCCTGGCGAAGCCCCTGCGAGTCGAGGCACCCCCGATTCCCTTAGTTCCCCTGGGATATGAGCCGGTTTCCCTGAGTCGCCGGTGGAGAGATGCCCACAGGGGTCGTACCCAGAGGCTTTGGGGACCACTGATGAAAGGATGTTGGGGCTGGTCTGGGAGCACCGGGTGTAGGGTACTGGTCTTGCAGGAGCCCCCACCTCAGATCCCTGAGGGCCAGGGAGCAGGGTGGTCAGGGCGGCGCTGAGCTCATGCCTCCGTGTGTAGGATCCATGAGTACGGTGGGGGACAGAGGGTCTTCCTCCTCTGGGATCAAGGGTTCAGAGCCCCAGTTGCTGCCTGGCGGCTGCCTGGCCATATAACCTTCCTGAGGCACCCACGACTCTCCTGCTCAATGCTGGCCTGTTGGCGTGGCCCGCAGGCTGGCCTGCCTCCGTGGACGGCCAACACTCCATGCCCTCCCATTCTCTGCACGGCTCCCCATCACACACGTGTCCTGCCTCCCCCCGGGGCCTTCTCGGTGGTCAGACTCCCTTCCTCCACTTCTGGGGTCAGCAGACTCTCTCCCCCCTTCCTAGAACGTGCCCCATGGAACCAACACCACCGCATTTGTGTCCAGATCACCATCCCAGCAGGCCTGGGTCACCCTCCTCTGTGCCCCCCACCCCTGCCCGGCACAGAGCTGGCCACAGGGCAGGGGTTGGCAGGGTCTCTTGAAAAACAACCAAAGGCTTTAGAGTGTGGGGTTTGACCTCCCTCGCCCACCCCGCAGGCGGAGCTGACGGTGAAAGCACCTGGGCCCAGCCCGCTGCTGGGGGTGAGTTCAGGGTCAAGGCCGGCTCTCGGGGGGACAGCAGCAGCACCCAAGGAGGCGCGGGCCTGCAGGCACTGCCTGCCCCCTGCCCGCGCCCCCATCTGGGTGGGACGGTCCTCGGCCCATGCCGAGTGTCTCCAAAGGGGTCTCTGATGGCTCCGGGGGTGGCATCCCGTGAGAACCCTCACCTGGTGGCCGGAGCTATGGGTTTGGTGTGAGCCTCTCTGTTTGTTTGCCTTTTAAAGACAAGGATGTGGGCACTGACAGGATATGTGTGGGGGTAAGTGAGAGAGTGTTAATGTGAGAGTGTTTGTGTATGCGCACGTGTGTGCACACGTGAGTGTGTGTGTGTGTGCGCATGTATGTGCACACGTGAGTGTGTGCGCGCACACGTGTGTGCACACGTGAGTGTGTGTGCGTGTGTGCATGTGTGTGTGTGCGTATGTATGTAGGGGGCTGAGTTGCCCACCCCTCCGAGCCCACTCCGATCCCCCATCTGTAGAAGGGGGCAATGTACTCTCCTCACTGGGAACCTGGCCAAGACGCCTGGGGTATGCAGGTGGTGACAAATTCTTGCGTCCCCTCTGGGGGCCTGCAGACAATCTCTGCCGTCCCGGAACAGTCTGAGGCCTGCAATTTTGAGAGCAGCCCACACTGGGTCTAACGGAGGCCCGCCCGCCCATCTTGTTGACCGTCCGAGGCGGTAAATGAGCCCAAGGCCCCTCGCGAGTCCCAGCTCCAGCCTCTCCTCTGTCCTTTCCGCCCACGCTCGGGAATGGACCTTTCCAGGACAGAGCGCCGCCCTCTCGGGCTCAGCATGCTCCGCTGGCTCCTCTGCATCCACGGAGCGTTCAGTGCCCTGGGCACCGCCCCCGCCCCCGGTCTGGATCAGCCCACGCCCCGTGTCCTGTGGCCCAGTCTCCCCGCTCCCCGTGGTGACTCGGCGATGCTGCTGTCTGCCTCCTCGTCTCCCGCCCGTTCTCTGCTGCAGGGTCCCGGGTGAAGCTGGGAGGCCGGCAGGCGGCTCCTGGGGACGTTCAGCCCTGGTGGGCTTGTCTGGGCTCTGAGTGCCATGCGGCCGGCCTGGTGTTCTCTGGGTCTCCGGGGGCAGGGCCCGCCCGCAGCACCTACCCCGAGGGGGTGGGTCTGGACTGTGCAGGCCTGCTCCTCAGCGTGCAGTTTTGTCTCCAGGAAGCGGCTCAGAAGTGTCTCTCTGTGCATCCCACTCTGCCCAGGGACCTCCCGCCGCCCTGCTCTGGGCTCGGGGCGCAGCTCCGCCTGCCCGTCATCAGGGAGCAGCAAGGCTCCACGAGAAGACGGGCTCCCTGGCCGGAGCTCCTGGCCTTGCCCTCGTCCACCCTCTGCGTGGCTAGGCAGGGCCGTTCCTCCTCTCCTCAGTCCCTGAGGTGCAAGCTGAGGGGGGTGTGGTTGACCCACATCCCTGCGGCTGCCTCGGGTGAGGGGAGCCTGCCTCGGCACCCCTCAGCTCCCGGCCCCGGCGGCACGCCCACCCTCCCCAGGCCTGGAAGCGGCTCCATGTCCTCCTCTGTCCTCAGATCTGTGACAAAGGCCCTGACCTGTGCAGACCCTCACTTATCTTTTTTTTTCCTCAAATTTTATTTTGATGTATATTTATTTAAATATTTAGTTCACCGCTCTGAGTCTTAGCTGCAGTGTGCAGGATCTTTTAGTTAGAGCATGGAAACCTTTGGTTGCGGCATGGGGCATTTCATTTCCTGACCAGGAATTGAACCCGAGCCTCCTGCATTGGGAGAGTGGAGTCTTAGCCACGGGACCACCAGGGAAGTCCCCCTCTCTTGATGACCCACTGTCTGGGGAAGGCCCCAGGGCACCCCGGGTGCGGAGAGCAGTTGCTAGTTCCTCCCTGGCCATTTCCTCCTTCCCTGCCTTCTGCCGCCCACTGCCCCCTGTACTGGGGACAGCCTGGGACCCAGCCCATTTCCTGCATTCCTTCTGGGGGCTTTGCCAGGCACAGGCCTGTTCTAGTGGTAGACCCGGGGGCCCATTGAGACCCCCCGGCCTCCGGGTTAGTCATAAAGAGCAACAGGAACCCCTGGGAACCGAGGCTGGAGTCACAGCCCCACTGAGCCCCATGGGAAGCTTGCCTTCTCCGGGGGGCTCTGTCCATCCCAGCCCTTGCTGGGTGGGAGGTGTGGTGGGCTTGCCCCTAGACCACTGGGTCCTGGGGTGTCCCGAGAGGACAGCTGTTCTGTCCCCTGTTTCTCCGAGGCTGTTTTCACGTCCCTGTCCAGGCACTCGTGGGAAGGTTCTGAGCAGCCTCTACCCACCAGGTTCTGAGCTGTTTCCTCGGGTCTGTTATGAGCAAGAACGGGCACCCCGCCCCCTGCCCACAGGGCCCTCCAGCTGGAAGCAGACGTAGGCTCGCGCCCCCGACGGAGTCTGCTCCGGGTGACTGTGCTGTTCGTGGAGGAGGCCCTGCCCGGGGAGGTGCTCAGGAGCCCGCCAGGCAAGGCGGAGGCACGCTCGCCTCTCGTGCCCTAACTCGGGGGCACGTCCACGCTGATCCCGACCGCCCAGAGAGGCCAGGACTGCTGCTGATCCCTGCCCTCTGCTCTCTCCACAGAGGCCAGCCCGGCATGCCGAGCCCTTGGCACTGAGGCCGCTGCCAGCCATGGAGGGCCCAGCGGAGCCGGCCCCGAGGGAGAAGAGGCCCTCAGGGGGCAGTGGTGACCGCGGGGTCCGGGAAGTGGCCAAGAGCACATCCGTCATCTGGGAGCAACCGTGGCCCGAGGGGGCCAAGGCCACCGTCCGAGGCGGTAAGTGCACCGTGCAGGTCCACCCCCACCCACCCCGGGACGGAGCCGGCGTCCGCACCGTCAGTGCCTGCATTTATGGAGAGTGTCCAGCCCAGGGAATGCCTGCGAGGGATGCGGGCCTACCTCGCGCTTCTCCAGGGTCACGTCGGTGATAAACTGGCCTGACGGGGGGGCAAGGGTTAGAGATTCCAGGGACAAGGCCCCGGATGAGGTCACAGCTCTCGTACGACTTTGTGTTCCCACCATCCTGCTCTGTCCTCGGCTGTGACCCCCCGGGGTTATTCAGGGTGGGGTGTCCCTCCTTCCCCCCAGCAGGCAGACCCAGGCCCGGGGTCGGGGGGGGGGAGTGGCAAGGAGCAGTGAGTGGGCCAGGCCTTGGGCAGGATTACTTCCTGGAAGGAGAGGACGGGGGCTGAGATGAGGGCAGAAGCACCTCTGACTCCCACCGGACCAGCCAGCGTGTGCACAGGAGGGGCTTGGACTCAGGCTGGGCTGCCAGCAGGGGGACCGGGTTCCGTCCTGATTGCCGCTGGACCACTGCTGGACGTGGGCCTCGGTTTCCCCACTTGGAAACCTGCGGGGTGGCCTAGGGTGTCTCCAGGACCCGTCTCTAGAGCTGGAGGAGAGAAGGGAAGGACAGGAAGGAGGGCCCCGAGCAGGGACAGCCTGTCCCCTTGTCCTTCCCCCATCTTCCCATCGTCAGACCCTCACCTCCACCCCAGTCACCTGCTTAAGTCAGCCACGGAGGTTCTAGGGCTTGGCAGGTAGCACGTGCCTGATAAGTATTTGACAAATGATCGCTGCTTTGGAAGAATGGCAACAAAACCTCATACTTGGCAGCAGGCCCAGAGCCTAGGTCTGTGCGTGCTTGCTGACTGGAGGTGTTTTTACTCCTGTTCTCTTGGTCCTTCAGGGTGTCAGTGAGGATAGGAAGGGTGGGGGTGGCCATCGAAGGGGCTGACTCCTGTGGTCAGACACCTGCCTGGCCCGGAAGAAGGGCTCCGAGCAGTGGTAGGGGCCTGGCCTGGGGATCTCATGGGATCGTGGCCCCATCCAGAGCTCGATGCCATGAGACAGAGGGGCTGGGTCCTGCCAGAAACACATGGGCCAGACCAGCCTCCCACAAGGCAGCCCAGCCCCCGAGGGGCCTTGAGTCCCAGAGCACGGGATTCCTTCCATCTGGCGCTGTGACCGAGTCAGGGGCTTTCTGACCACGAGCCTGGTGTTTCCTGCCCCTCCAGCCCCACAACACGGCTGGCATCCGCTGGCACCGGGACGGTCTAGGAGCCCCCACAGCGGGATCGGGGAGCCCCTCCGGTCTTCCCAGTCTCCCCAGCCCCAAGCAGCCAAGGGGCCAGTGGGCTCCCGTCACATCTCCCTGGATCCCTTACCCTTTCAGCTTCTTTCGCAGATGGGCAGCAAATTTACAAGAAACAATACAAAGAATTCCCGCTTAGCCCACCCAGGGGGGTTTCCCTGATGGCCCAGTGGTTAAGAACCCACCTGCCAATATAGGAGATGAGGGTTCGATCCCTAGGTCGGGAAGATCCCCCTGGAGGAGGAAATGGCAACCCACTCCAGTATTCTCGCCTGGGAAATCCCATGGACAGAGAAGCCCAGCGGGTTACAGGCCATGCGGTTTCAAAGAGTCCAACGTGACTGAGTATCTGAGCGTGTGCACGCACCCCACCTAGACCCCTCAAGTGTTAACACTTTGCCTTCTCTCTGCGCTTCAGGCAGGGGTTATGTTTTCCCAGGATGGTCTAGGAGTCCATTGCAGACATGACACCCCCCCTCCCCCATTGTTTGGTGTCTTTTCTAAAACCAGGACCTGCTCATGCAGCCTCACAGTGAGATGATTCCAAACTCACTTTCCTGGGTGAGACAACCTGCAGACAGACCTCACTGCAGTCCCACCATCTGTCCCCGTAAACTCCTTTCCACCAAACAAAACCCTGGTCAGGCTTTGCATTCTGTGGTCGTGTGTCCCTGGAGCTTCTTAACCTGGAGGTTGGTATTTTGACGATTCCAGGCGGTCAGCCTGCAGAAGGTGCCACAGTGTGGAGGCAGGTGTTTCTTCAGGACGACAGGATGGTGCTTTGGGCAGAAACCCCCAGCACCTTCGGTCCCTCCCAATGTCCGTGGGTCTGGCCCCTGGTGGCGTTCACATCTCACGTTGCTCACTTGATTAAGGGGATGTTTGACCATGTAAACGTCACTGTCAAAGTCTTCCTTCTTCCCTCTGTCGTAAGTAAGGAGCCTGTGGGAACTTTGTGACTATTCCATCCCTCTTCGAACTCACCCATGTTAGTCGCTCAGTCGTGTCTGACTCTTTGCGACCCCATGGACTGTACCCTGCCAGGCTCCACTGTCCGTGGAATTCTCCAGGCGAGAATACTGGAGTGGGCTGCCATTTCCTTCTCCAGGGGTCTTACTGATCCAGGGGTCAAACCCTGGTCTCCTGCATCACAGGCCCCATCTGAGCCGCCAGGAAAGCCATGAAGACGGTTGCTAAATGGTGACTTTCTAAAGCTGCATTCTTTCTACATTCTTTCTAATTGACCTTCACTGAAGCGAGGAACTGTCCCCTCTCCCCAGTTACTCACTTACTTATTTTAGTGTGGGCAGGCTCGGAGGTCTTTATTTCATTCTCTAGATGCTATTGGTTGCTGTCATTAGTTATTTTTTTGTTCAAATGGCCCCTGATTTGGTCTTGTGACACGTCTCCAACATCCTGTGGGCACCACCTGCTTTCTGGGGCCCCAGGACGCTCACGTCTCATCTCTGCTCTCCCTGCCCCAGCCCTGGAATCGGCCATGCCTCAAGGAGCCCCCACCTCAGTGGGAGGATGGAGTCTGAAGCCGAGATCAGGGTGCCAGGCACTTATTTGGACTCAACAGGCATTTCTGAGCCCCTGTTCTGGGGACCCAGAGCAAGCAAGGACTGGAAATGGGCTCTGACCACACAGGCCTGGGGCTGGTGGACCGCAGGTGGGGAGAGAGCAGAGATGATCTGGTGATGTTGCCCAGTCCAAGGTCAATGGGCAGCACCCCCAGCACTGAGTGGGACGTCCCTTGGGTGATGAGGAGGCTGGACTGCCGTTCAGCAACCCCTGTCTGACCCATAGGTGTTTCTGGATCAGATCACCCTCCATCCGAAGGTCCCGATCGCACATCCCATTTTACAGATGAGGAAAATGTGCAGGGCAGGGATGGTGGCTCTAGCCAAGATGCAAGCTGGCGGCTGGCCTCGAGTCTGGGGGCTGGAGCAGGGACCACCAGCAGAGGACTGACCTCCCAAGGCCGAGAGGGCCCGTGGCCCCCCGGCTAGTGGCTGGTGTAGCTGGATGAGGGTGCAAGCCCGTCTCCCAGACCTTGCGCTCCCCCTCAGTGTCGCCTCCCCTCTGTGGTCAGCGGAATGGAGGCCCCCAAAGAAGTCCTGTTGGAGAAGGGCATGGCTCCCCACTCCAGTATTCTTGCCTGGCAAATTCCATGGACAGAGGAGCCTGGTGGGTTACAATCCACTGGGTTGCAAAGAGTCAGACATAACTGAGCGACTAAACAACATAACAAAGAAGACCTATGACCAACCTAGACAGTGTATTAAAAAGCAGAGACGTCACTTTGCTGACCAAAGTCCGCATAGTTGAAGCTGTTTTTCCAGTAGTCGTGTATGGATGTGAGAGTTGGACCATAAAGAAGGCTGAAGTGAAGTGAAAGTTTCAGTCAGGTCCGACTCTTTGCAACCCCATGGACTATACAGTCCATGGAATTCTCCAGGTCAGAATATTGGAGTGGGGTAGCCTATCCCTTCTCCAGGGGATCTTCCCAACTCAGGGATCGAACCCAGGTCTCCTGCATTTAGGTGGATTCTTTACCAGCTGAGCCACAAGGGAAAGAAAGCTGAGCTCCGAAAAATTGATGCTTTTGAACTGTGGTGCTGGAGAAGACTCTTGAGAGTCCCTTGGACTGCAAGGAGACCAGTCAATCCTAAAGGATATCAACCCTGAGTATTCATTGGAAGGACTGATGCTGAAGCTGAAGCTCTAATTCTTTGGCCACCTGATGCAAAGAGCCCACTCATTGGAAAAGACCCTGATGCTGGGCAAGATTGAAGGCAGGAGAAGAGTTCAACAGAGGATGAGATGGTTGGACGGCATCATCAACGCAATGGACATGAGTTTGAGCAAACTCTGGGAGATGGTGATGGACAGGGAAGGCTGGCGTGCTGCAGTCTATAGGGTCTCAAAGAATCCAACACGACTGAGCGCCTGAGCAACAAGCAACAACACAGAATCCACATCTTCATCCACACAACCTGCACACACGTTACCTCCTGTGGCAAAGAGAGTTTGCAGAGGGGCTTAACGCTTTGGAGACGGGGAGATTACCCTGGGATGGGAACCAAAGAGAGATTGAAGGTGCTGGTGCTGCTGGCTTTGGAGACGGAGGAGGGGCCAAAAGCCAAGGAATGTGGTGCCTCTAGAAGCCAGAGCAGCGAGGAAACAGATTCTCCCCCCGGGGCCTCCAAAAGGAACCACTGCTGCCCACACCTTGTTTGGCTCCAGTGAGACCCTTCTCAGACCCCAGATAACACTGTGCAGTTTCCAGAAGCTGCTCGGGTGGAGTAATTAGTTACTGCAGAAAAGGAAGCCCACGACCTCCTCCAGACCCTGCTGGCCTCTGTGACTGTGGAGGAAGGGTGTGAACAGTGGCTTGGAGGGGCGTGGACATTCCTCTCTTCCAGAAATACCTGGGGTTGGTGCCTGCGTAGTAGCTGAGGCTGTCTGTTCTCACCTTAATCACAGGACCCTGCTCTGATACTGANAGCATGACTGTTGGAAAAACCATAACTTTGACTAGATGGACCTTTGTTGGCAAAGCAATGTCTCTGCTTTTTAATAATAAATAAAGACTCCGATTCCTTGATGACACTGTCCACATTTCAAGAGCTCAGGGATCCTTGTGGCTGGTGGCCGCTGTGGGGCGCTGTAGACAGCAGGCACGCCCATCGCTGCAGAAGTTTCTAGGGGCTGGCACTGCCCGGGGGGCTGACAGCCAGGGCATGCCATAAGCCAGACGTGGTTGTGAGGGGATCCTCTGGTTTCTGCGGACCAGGGGACCATCTGGAGCGAGTGCCGGGGCCCAAACCCTGCCCAGGCAGACCCAAGGGGCAGGGCCATGGTGGGTGTGCATGCTGGGTTCAGCCTGGCTTTGCAGGTGAGTCAGTGGGGCTGGCTGCTGGGCCCACGTGGAGGGTGATGGAGGCAGGTGTCGCTGGTCCGAGCAGGGCTGGGGCTGTGGCCTTTCTGGAGCTGGTGAAGAAAGGATGAGGTGGGGGGCAGAGGGTGCCTGTGGGGTGTTTCCTGGAAGTCAGGTGCCCTGGTGGAGCTTGGGCCAGGGAGAGATCAGGGATGGAGGTCACGGTGACTTGGAGGCCATTTGCTGGAGGCCAGACAGATGCTGGCCTGCCCTGGGGCGATGACACAGTCCACTTCCTCCCGTCTATGTACGACGTGGGCAGCACGTGACTCATTTACAAGGACAGGACCTGGCCTCAGGGGAGACAGCCTGCCTGCGAAGCTTTCCCAGGCGGTACACATAGGGTGTGAACCCGGCTCCCCAGGTTTGCGGGCCGGGGTCTGGCGGGGGCGGGGGAGCACCCCACGGCACTCTGCCCACCTTGATCTGCCCGGCGCTTCCAGACCTGACCTTGCAGCTGCTGGCGGTACGGCGGAAGAGCGGGCTGCCCGACCTCAACCTGCAACAGGCCCTGCGGGGCCGGCTCCGTCTGCTGGAGAATGAAAGCTGCGAGGTGGCCCGCGCCCTGGGGGTGAGTCTGGCTCCTGGGGGTCCTGGGTGAGTGAAGGGGCATGGGATCCACACTTGAGAACGGGGCGGAGGGGGATGACTCGGAGAAGAAGGCAGTGGGCCTAGGAGGAGGTCTGGAGACTTCGGGCTGAGAGGCCTGTTCTTTGCCTCACATGGTGGTCGGGACACAGGACGAAGAAAGGCCCTTAAAGTGGCAGAGGGCGGCCATGCAGGCGGCTGGACACAGTGGGCAGCGCCTGCTGGGCCCCCGCCCCAGCTTCTGCATCCACACAGTGACTCCAGAGGTCCAGGGACCAGCCGGGAGGCTGGCCTTGGGCTGGAGTCCCGCTTCCGCTTGGACTTGCCCAGGAGGAGCCTGGCTCAGCCTCAGCTTCTCTGGGACTCAGTTTCCCGACCTTGGTCTGACCTTGCACTCAGCCCGGCCTGACCTTGGCCGACGCCCCTTGGCCTCTGTGAATGCGGCCTCCTCAGCCACTTACTGGGGTGCTTAGAATTGTGACCCCATGGAGCTGCCGTGAGGTCTGCAAGCAGGGTGCCCCCAGCATGGTGCTCGACAGCGGGGGTGGGGGGGTGATGCCCCTGGGATGCCAGGGCTGGGTGGCTGGTTAAGGGTGGGGCCTCATTTCTGAATCCCAGTGGAGACGATAATAGCACTCCGTCTCCTCTGCTCGGTGTCTGCTGGGTTTTGTGTGGGTGAGGGGGGCTGTTCGGGGTCTTCACTGAAGTATGCAGTCTTTCCAGTGTGTGATTCAGTACCCACGGCTGGCATCCGTTACCCCACGGCATGTGGGATCTTGGTTCCCCAACCAGGAATCGAACCCACGCTCCCTGATTCTTAACCACTGGACCACTCGGGAAAGTCCCGGCTGGTGCTCCTTTGAAGGCCCCGGCACCACCAGGAGGGTTCATGGGACAGTTGTCAGGAGAGGGGATGCTGGATTTAGGATTGGAGTCGGAGTTGCTGCTGTGGAAGGGGATGGGAAGCGAGGCCGGGGCTGAGCAGGGCTGCGTGGAGGAGACCCGGGGGTCTCTGGTGTGCAGGGCGTGAGGCAGGCCCTTGAGTCACGGAGGGGGCATGGAGGCCGCCAGCTCTGGGAGGGCTCAGCATGGCACTGGGGAGCCACAGCTGGTCTGAGAGCAGGCGGGGAGCAGCCTGGCTGTAAGGGAATCAGATGTGATTCCCTCACCCCCGCCCCACCCTGTCCCAGCCAAGGTCACTCCCGAGAAACGTTTCTGCTGACGGGCAGATGCCCCGAAGCCCCCAGGACTGTTTCTCACACGTTTCTTCCCTGGAAGGAGCTGTCGGCCAGGCTGCTGTCCATCCACAGTGACCAGGATCGGATGGTGGTGACGTTCAAGACGTTTGAAGAAATCTGGAAGTTTTCCACCTACCACGCTCTCGGTAAAGTGGTGACCCTCCCAGAAAGGGTTCTGGGGACCCCCGCACGCACTCAGCACTTTATGTTCCCAATCGGGGATTAAGACCAGGTGCGTTCACAACAGCTCTCCACAGGCCACCTGTCCTTGGTGAGGATCAATGCGATGGACAGGGCTGAGCCTGGCTTCCAGGGCAGCCGAGCGCTCCCTAGCCAGCACATAGAGGAAACCCTGCAGCAACCTCAGCCTATGAGCTTTCTTTCCAAAACTTCTCCTGTTCAAAGCAAGGCTTTGACTGGCTAGGTGCCTCTCCTTGGGAACCTTGCTGCCCCATCCCTGCCTGAGGGCTGAGAATTGAGACTCAGAGCTGACAGTGCCTTGCGCCCCCAGAGTGGGGCTGTGCCCACCCTCCCCGGGCCCCGGTCTCCTTGAGCACTCTTGTCCCAAGTCACAGAGGAGCCTGACAGTCCTAGAGGACGTAACGAGTCCAGAGAAGTTGTCCACGGTCACAGCTGGTCCTCTTGCAGCCTGAAGGGTCAGCCCCATGGCCCGGCTCGGGTAGTGGACAGTACCGCGAACCCCCAAGGGCAGAGGGCGCTGGCCCCCAGGCCCTGGTCAGTGCAGGGCTCGGCCAGCGCTGGACCGTGAGGGCCTCTCTCCGCACACCCAGAGTCCGCTGGTGACCAGGGCTGTCTGCTCCCCCAGGCTTCACTCATCACTGCCTGGAGAACCTGCTCATGGACCAGGCCTTCTGGCTGCTCGAGCCCGACGAGGACCAGGAGACAGCCGTCCGAGTCCAGGTGGATGAGGACGCCTTGAGGCTGGCGTACGAGAGCCTCCTCGTCCAGGAAGGTGAGCGAGGTGACGTCGGCGGCTCCCCACTGGTCCGGGAGGGCCCGGGGCCCCGGCAGCAGGAGGGCCCTGGAGGAGCGGACACTGAGGGGACACTGGGCAGAGAAAGTCCCTAAAGAAGTAACAGAAAAGGATCTTTTGCCAGCGACCCCCAAGTTCCTGGCCCGGCTGTTGCTCTGAGTGCTTTGGGGGTCTCATAGTTGGGTTCCAAGCCTGCTGCGAGCAGGGCGTTAGCAGTCGGTCCTTCCCAGCTGCAGAGAGGATGGGAGGAGGCCAGCTGCAGCTGGACTTGCTGGGGGGTGTGGGGGGGACCCAAGCGGGGTGGGGGGATCCTCGGGATCACCCATCTGTCCCCCTCACAGCCGAGTTGAGTCCCAGAGAAGCTGAGGCTGAGCCAGGCTCCTCCTGGCCAAGTCCAGGCGGATGCGGAACTCCAGCCCGGGTCCAACCTCCCGGCCCAGGTCCTGGGACCTCTAGACTGTGTGGGTGCAGAAACAGGGGCTGGGGGACCCCAGCAGTTGCTGCCCGCTGTGTCCAGCCGCCTGCATGACCACCCTCTGCCGCTTTGAAGGGCCTTTCTTCATCTTGTGTCCCGACCATCATGTGAGAGTGAAGAACGGCCCTCAGCCCTTCAGGCGGCCTCTGAGCAGTCCTCAGGCAGACATGGCCGCGGCAGTGGACTCTTCAGACCCGAGTGCTGGCACATCCTCGGAGGAGGCGGGGGCAGCGGCAGCCACTCCGGAGCCGTTGATTCCGTTCCATCAGTAGGTACCGACCTTTGTTTCTCTGCCTCCTGCGGGTCCCGCATGCTGGCAGGCTTCGTGGAAATTCCCCCAGGCCGGGGTCCATCATTGGCCAAGGCGAGTGGCTGGGGACCAACGTGAGCCCCAGCAGACACGGCCTCCACACTTTCCACCGTTCTCAGCATGTGGCATGGCAGGACAGTGACACCTCCCCGGCAGGACTGCCCTGGAATGAGACAGCTGGGGTGTGCAGCCTGGGCTTCTGGCTTCATGTTCTGGCTCATTCCGGAAAGCTTTTGAGGGAGCCACATAGCCTGTGCCCACAGTAAGGGAGCACGCAGGGATCCATGCAAATAAGAACCAAGGCAGGGAAAGCCTGGGGAAGGTGGGGACAGGTAGCACGCAGGCTCCTGTTCATGTGCTGAAGTGGACGTAAACTTGGTTTGAGCTTCCTGGCAGCCAAAGTGAAGAGAGAAACTAGATCTCCTTGTTTTCAGTGAAATAGTCCATGGATGATGGAGGGAGGTCTGCGAGGATGCCAGCCTGCAGGAGAGCAGGAGGCACCTGGGCAGGGGGCTTGTGGCAAGCTGGGCCTGAAGGCCACACACTGTGTGTGTGTGTGTGGGTGTGGGGGGCTGTGTGCGTGTGTGAGTGGGTGTGGGTGTGGATATGTGTTGGGTGCGGGGGGTGTGACGTATGTTTTTTGGTAGGTGTGTGTGTGTGTGGGTGGTTGGCTGTTGGTGTGGGGACGTATGTGTTTTGGCGTAGGTGTGTGTGTGTGGTTATGGGTGGTGTAGGTGTGTGTAGGGGATGTGGAGGTGTGCATGGGAGGGGGTGTGCATTTTTGGGGGGATGTGTGTGGGTTTGGGTGTGTCTGGAGGGTGTGTGTGTGTGTGGGCAGGTGTATGTGGGTGGGTGTGCATATGTGTGTGTTGGTGTGTGTGTGGCTGGGTATGTGGTGTGTGTGTGTGCGGGGTAGATGTGTGTGTGTTGGGGTGAGTGAGTGTGTGTGTGTGTGTGAATGTGTAGGTGGCTGTGGGGGTTGTGGGTATGGGTGCCTGGGGGGTATGCGTGTGAGTATGTGTTGTGGTGTGTGTGTATTAGTGGGTGTGTTTGGGTGTGGGCGAGGTAGGTGTGTGTGTTTGGATGAGTGAGTGTGTGTGAGTGTGTAGATGGGTGTGGGAGGTGTGTGGGGGGATGGAAGGGGGTGTGTGTGTGTGAGAGTGTGTAGGTGTGTGTGTGTATTGGGGGCCATGTGTGAGTGTGTAGGGGTGTGTGTGTGTGTCTGTGTGTGTGTGTGTTGGGGGCCGTGTGTGTGAGTGTGCAGATGTGTGTGTGTTGGGGGCCGTGTGCGTGCAGCCAGAGCAGGCGGAGGCCTTTGCTCAGGGCCCTGTGGCTGTGTGTGTGGGTATATGTATATGTGTGGGTGTGTGGGGTGGTGTGTGTGTGTGTGTGTGTGTAGGCGTGTCTGTGTGTGTGTTGGGGGCCGTGTGCATGAGTGTGCAGATGTGTGTGTGTTGGGGGCCGTGTGCGTGCAGCAGGAGCAGGCGGTGGCCTCTGCTCAGGGCCCTGTGGCTGTGTGTGTGGGTATATGTATATGTGTGGGTGTGTGGGGTGGTGTGTGTGTGTGTGTGTGTGTAGGCGTGTCTGTGTGTGTGTTGGGGGCCGTGTGCATGCAGCAGGAGCAGGCGGTGGCCTCTGCTCAGGGCCCTGTGGCTGCGGCCTGTTCTCTGCGCGCAGCTCTAACCTGCTCGGATCTGAAATCCCCGCTCATCCCGCTCCAGGTGGGCTCTCAGGGTCCCCAAGGACTCCATCAATGACCCCCTGGGTGGACCCCTGGCGCCGGACGTCCAGCTGATGGGTAAGTGCTTCTGCTGGTCCTCCTCCCCTGGGGAAGAGGGGGCTGAGGCGGGCGGGCACCTGCATTCCAGAAGCTTCTGGCTCCCCTGAGTCCTCCCCAAGCCAGAAGAGGTAGCTCGGATCCTCTCCAGTTCCTGAGACGATAAGGAGGCTCAGAGAGGTTTACTGGCTGGCCCGGACTCACAGCGCCAGGGCGGCCAGGCCAGGGTGCCCGGATGCCCTGCTTCTACTGAGCAACAGCCCATCCCACCAGCACCTCCGCGGCCTCTGCTTTCTTGCTGGTGCCGCGTCAGACCCCTCGGAGGACCCTCAGACCAAGGGGTGGGGGGGGCAGGGGTCTTTGGAAAAAACAGCCTGGCCCCTTTGCGTGATAGTCATTCAATCATGTCTCTTTGACTCTTTGTGACCCCATGGACTGTAGCCTGCCAGGCTCCTCTGTCCGTGGAGTTCTCCAGGTGAGAATACTGGAGTGGGTAGCCGTGCCCTCCTCCAGGGGATCTTCCTGACCCAGGGATCGAACCCGGGTCTCCCGCATTGCAGGCGGATTCTTTACCCTCTGAGCCACCATCAGGCCCAGTGCATTTGATCTGAACCAGATTGACTGATGTCTGCATGGCCTGTGGACCTGTTAAGTGAACATTTTCATCTGAATTTGCTCTAAGTGGGCCCTTGGGCCAAGTTGATCAACATCTCCAGGCCTCAGTTTCTCATGCTCAGGGTGGGGATAAGGCCCCATCTCCCAGGACCGCGTGGACACCCAGCCCTGTGGTCTCACGACCCTGGCCAGGTGCTGGGTCAGTCCTCAGCAGAGTCGCGAGCTCCCTGGCCGGGGATACCAGCAGTGTGCCCGAGGGCCTCCTGTTGGCCCGCCCAGGCCCCACCCTGACCGTGTGTGGCCTCTTTCCTGCAGCCGTAGGCCCAGCCTTGGCTGTAGCGGACTGCCAGGGCTCAGGACCTGAAGAGATGACCTTCCGAAGCGGCGACCGGATCGAGATCCTGGGCGCCCAGGTGCCCGGCCTGCCCTGGTGCCTGGGCCGGCACGCAGCCTCCGGCCAGGTCGGATTTGTGCGGACGAGCCTCATCAGTGTGCAGGGCCAGGCGTCTGAGTGAGTGGCTGAGGCCCTGTCCCTTCCTCCTCCTCATCACCCTCACCTCTGTCCCCAGGGCTGAGGCCCGGCCCGGGACCACCCCGCTGTCCCCAGGGCCTGACTTCCACTTCCCGTCTGAACATTCTCCTGCCCTTTCCCCAAGGGCGGCTGGGGCCGGCCCCTGAAACACACAGGTGTCCACGTGCACGGGTGTCCTGGGCCTGCGGGGCCAGCAGCACGAAGTTGAGGGCTTAAAACGACAGACTGGAGGCCGGACGTGAAAATCACGGTGCTGGCAGAGTTCCTTCCTGCCCCTTGGGGGCCCCCAGGGGGGTCCTCCCCGCCTCCCCCAGCTCCTGTGGCTCCAGGCGGCTCTGGGCCTGTGGTCACATCACCCCACCTCTGCCTCTGTCTTTGTTCATGAGATGTTTGTCCCTAGCGCCCCATTAGCCCTGGCGTCCTGTTTCATTCTTGTCTGGCACCTCAGTGCCTCCAAGACCAAGTCTCGGTTGCCACTCTGCCACCCTGACAGGTCCTACCAGCCGCTCTGTTCCCTAACTCAAGGGCCTGTCTGCTCCGGAGCCTCTTCCGCCCGCTCATCAGAAGCAGGTTGAAGCTGGGCTGGGCTCTGATGCTGACGGTAGAAACCAGACCTTAGTTTCCCAAAGCGAGCTGCCCCCAAGGCTTCATCTCAGACTTCGTCAGCACGGCTGGGCTTTCCACGTGCCGTGGTTGGTGGAACTCCCAGCACAAGGAAGGCACCCAGAGCGTGAAACTTTTCCTTGTCCTGTCGAAGTGTGTTTTTCACACTTATCTGACCTCCAAACAAACCCTATCAGCTGGTGTTCTGTGAAACACTGTTTGGGCACCCTTGGTCTAGATGATTGCCACCATCTCTGGGGAGACCGCAGTGTCTCAACAGACAGCTGGGCCCCGTGTGACTTAAACATGTCCTGAGCTTGCCAAGGGTCTGCGCTGCAGTCGCTGTGGGTCTGAACTGGTCTGTTGCCCTCCCTTAACCCAGAAGGTGGACAGGGCCCAATGCCGCTGATCCTATTTACAACCAGAGAAGCGCCAACAACTTCTCTCATTTACTCAACAAATACTTTCTAAACGTCTTTCCTGTGCCAGATCTGGGTCTTTTACCTTTTGTGTGATGTACATTCTGGTGACTATTCTTTATTTCATCATAATTTCAGGCTTAAGGAAAAGTTGCAAAAAGAGTGTAAAATTCCTCTGTGTCCTTCACCCAGTTTGCCCAAATGTTAACATGTTATGACACTTACTTTCTACTGTCTGTCTGTTTTTTTCTTCATTTTCTTTCTCCTAAATTCTTTGGGAGTCAGTTGCAAACACGATGTTCCTTTACCCCTAAATAATGCATGTGTTTCCTGAAACCAGGACATCGCTTGCATGACCACAGCACAACTGTCAAAATCAGGAAACTAACACTGATAGAATTGTTTTCTGCAGAGCTTAGATCCTACTGATTTTCCCAGTGATCCCCTCTTGAGCCAAAGAAAACTCCAGACCCCGTATTGTCACTTGTCTGTCTCTCGAGTCTCATCTCCTTGATCTGAGCCAGTTCCTCCGTCTCTCTGTGCTTTAGGACCCTGACTTCTTTGAGGAATACAGTCTTATTGTGTCTAACGTGTCATAATTTACCCTACGGGTTTCTTTAACTTCCCATAATAGCTCCCTCTTAAGTTTCAAAGTACATTTGAAAGTTTCATATTTTGCTGTTAATTTTGTTCTATAAGCAGAAGTTGCCTCCCCCCACGCCCTCCCTCCCTCGCTTTGTTCCTTCCTGTTTTTCCTCGGCCTGACTCTTCTGAGTACTCGTGTGCTCTGAGCCCGTGTTGTATAAAGAGTTGTGAGAGATTGCAGTGGGGAGCGATTGAGTCTGCCTGCAGCTGTCACGGCCTGCCTCACAGGGGAAGGGGCATGTAAGGTGGGGTTTTGAAGGCTGCTCAGGAGCTCCCCTTCCAGAAACTGTGATCAGCTGCATCTGTCACAGCCTTTCCTGCTCCTGGGTGTCTGCCTCTGACCTGATGAAGCATCCTTGAGGGTGGGATCTATTTTGTTTTTATCTTGGTGTCTTCATCACTGGGCAGGGATTGTCTGCCAAGTGAGGGAGGGAGAAGGGTCTTCATGTGAAATGTGTACTTGGAAATGTGCAATCTAACATGCGCTTTATTTTTTCCAGCTTGGAAAATGTGATTTTTCTCAGTGAAGAAGAAAGGTCTTTCTTTAGCCGTGAAGGGCGCTTTTCTGAGGAGGAGGCCAGGCAGCTGCTGAGAAGGACGGCCAGCACGAATGTCTGCACGGTGTACAGCCTGGGTAGGCGGCGGGGGACACAGGGGTGCTCCTCCCCCCTCAGGATGGCCCCGGGGGCCTCTCAGGACCTGCAGCTGGAATCGCCTTGTGTATTTAGTCACTCAGTCATGTCTGGCTCTTTGCGGTCCCATGGACTGCAGCCCGCCAGGCCCCGCTGTCCGTAAGATTCTCCAGGCAAGCATACTGGAGTGGGTGACCATTCCCTCCTCCAGGGGATCTTCCTGACCCGGGGATCGAACTTGGGTCTCTTGCACTGCAGGCAGATTCTTTACCATCTGAGCCACAGGGAAGAACCCTACAGCCTGTGATTTAGAACAGCTTTCTTAGGGCAGGTTCCCGGAAAGACCAGGAAGGGTGCAGAGCTCGCCCCCGGATGACAACCCTCGGCCCTGTTCCGTCCGCACCGCTGTGCAAGGCTGGACTGTCCACCCTGCAGAGTGCGGCACGGCTCTGGCTTCGTCCACTGTCCGCGGCGGCAACCCCATCCTGCTGCCTTTAAGGAAACTTCCGCCTCCTCCATCATTCGCAGTATTGAATGCCAGCCCCTGGGCCCTTACAGGCGGCCAGACAGGTGCTGGCGCTGCGTTCAGCGCAGGTGGGGACGTGACAGGAGAGACAGAGGCAGGAGCAGGGGGAGGGGCCGGGAGAGGCAGGAAGGTGGGCCTGAGCCTCCCGGCTGCCCCGGGGACGGGTCTCAGCTGAGCCACTTCTCTGACTCTGGGCGCCAGCCTAAGACCGCCGGCTCCGCTGGGGCTGGGGGAGCAAGAGGGCCTGGGACTGCGGTCCGAAGAGTAGAGGGAGGAAGCGTGTCGGCAGCCACAGCCGGAGGTCATGGGCAGAGGGGACGGTGCAGGACAGGCCTACCCGCAACTGCCTGGGCCCTGGGGACACAGCGTTCCCGCTCATCCGTTCCTCCTGCAGGAGGGAGATGATGCACACGTGTGGACACACCCCACAGATATGTGTACACACAGGCACACGCATAGTCATATGAGTACACACAGACACACCCAAACACACACACACACCTGCACACATGTATGTGTCCATATGCACATGCTCATGTGACTACACGTGCACACACACATATNGCACACGCATAGTCATATGAGTACACACAGACACACCCAAACACACACACACACCTGCACACATGTATGTGTCCATATGCACATGCTCATGTGACTACACGTGCACACACACATATACCTACACACCCACACTTGTACACATATATACACATATGTACACACACATATAAGTGTGTGTTCATGCTTTCATATCTTTCCTGCTTGCTCACTGGCACATGTTTGAAGAATTTTCCCACCAATATTAGATTTAAACTAATGGATTTCTCTTTCTTTGTTGTTGTTCAGTTGCTAAGGCATGTCCGACTCTTTGCCGCCCCATGAACTGCAGCATGCCAGGCTTTCCTGTCCTTCACTATCACCCTGAGTCTGTGCAAACTCATGTCCATTGACTTGGTGATGCCATCCAACCATCTCATCCTCTGTTGCCCCCTTCTCTTACCCTCAATCTTTCCCAGCATCAGGGTCTTTTCCAATGAGTCAGCTCTTCGCGTCAGGTGGCCAAAATATTGGAGCTTCACCTTCTGCATTAGGCCTTCCAATGAATAGTCAGGGTTGATTTTCTTTCGGATGGACTGGTTTGATCTCCTTGCAGTCCAAAGGACTCTCAGAAGTCTTCTCCAACACCGCAATTCAAAAGCATTAATTCTTTGGCGCTCAGCCTTCTTTATGGCCCAACTCACATCCATACACGACTACTGAAAAACCATCGCTTTGACTAGACGGACCTTTGTCGACAAACTAATATCTCTGCTTTTTAATATGCTATTTAGGTTGTCATAGCTTTTCTTCCAAGAAGCAAGGATCTTTTAATTTCATGGCTGCAGTCACCATCTGCAGTGATTTTGGAGCCCCCCAAAATAAAGTCTCTCACTGTTTCTACTTTTTCCCCATCTATTTGCCACAAGGTGTTTGTACTGGAGGCTATGATCTTCGTTTTTTGAATGTTGAGTTTTAAGCCAGCTTTTTCACTCTCCTCTTCCACCCTCATCAAGAGGCTGTTAAGTTCCTCTTCACTTTCTGCCACTATAGTGGTATTATCTGCATATCTGAGGTTGTTGATGTTTCCAGCAATCTTGATTCCAGTTTGTGAGTCATCCAGCCCAGCGTTTCGCATGATATGCTCTGCATAGCAGTTAAATGAGAACTGAGACCTCGGCGGGTCAGCCTTAGGCAGGCCTGGCTCATGGCTTCTCCTCTTCCTGGGAGGCCGCGTTGGGAGTCTCGTTTGGTGCTGTGGTGGGGTCCTCCCCATTGGACGCTGCACAGTGGACAGCACTTCACACTCCCCTGGCCTTTTACAGCTCTTTTTCTCCTTTGGTTTCCTTGGCAGCCCTGTGGGCAGTCAGCCTCGGCGTTTCCAGGAGGTGGGAACCGAGGCGTAGGAGGGTGCTGGTGGTAGGGTGAGGAGGGGGTGCAAGTCCAGCTCTGCCGCCCAGCCCCGGGGCGAGCCGGCGGCATCGGGGGAGCAGGGCGCCCACTCCCAGAGGGCGGGCAGCAGGAGGAGGCAGCCTCTTAGGGAGGGTGGAGCCCTGCAGGGGTCGGGGTGCATCCTGGAAGACTTGGCTTCTTGGCTGATGCCCGCGCACCCCCCGCCCAGGCCAGACCATTTCCCTGCTTGGCGCTGGTGTCAGGGGTGTAACCATCCTAGAGCCGCCCCCCGCCTTGGCCCCTACACAGAGCACTGGTCCCAGTGTGATGCCTCCCTTCTCTCTGACTTTTCAGACACGTCAGAAGAAGCTGAGACGCGGCAGCAGCAGGAGGAACGAGGTACATCCTTCCCACAGGGGAGCCCTGGGGGCGTGGGGCTGGACCTCGGGGTGGCGCGGACTGTGGACCTCACTCCTCTGCGGGGAAGGGCTGGTGACATGCGGTCTGGCCTTGGGGGGATGTTGGGTGAAACAGAGGTGAGGCTCCCCTCCACACTGTGCCCAGTAGGTCCCCAGGGAATGTGCCCACCGCCCCGCACTGTCCCCAGTGTAGGTGGGGTGACCGCTCCACTGCCCAGCCCATAGCCTGGCCCCCTGCACTGTCCCCAGCAAAGAAGCACATCCCGCCATTGCCTCGAAGTGAAAAAGTTGCTCAGTTGTGTCCGGCTCTTTGTGACCCCCCACGGACTATACAGTCCATGGAATTCTCCAGGCCGGAACACTGGAGGGGGTAGCCGTTCCCTCCTCCAGGGTATCTTCCCAACCCAGGGATCAGACCCCGGTCTCCCCCGTTGCAGGCGGATTCTTTACCAGCTGAGCCGCCAGGGATGAGCTTACGCCTGACACTGGGGTTTTTCTTTCTTTTTTTTTGAGCTGCACTAGGTTTTAGCTGTGGCTTGCAAATTCTTAGTTGGGGCATGTGGGAGCTAGTTCCCTGACCAGGGATCCAACCCACGCCCCTTGTATTTGGAACATGGAGACTTAGCCACTGGACCATCAGGAAGTCCCTGGGTTTCTTTCATTTAACCCAGAGCAGCTGAAATTTGCCCTGTGTCCTGCTTGGAGGGGTGAAGGGGGTGGAGAGGGCGCTACTGTGGAGACTAACGTTGGAAAAGTCCCTGGAGGACCTGCTCTTTCCCACACCTCCATCTCTGCCACAGCAGAGGGTCTGCGTCAGGGACCGCCTGGGGATGCACTAGCCGAGGACCCTTTGAGATTTCCGGGGAATGGTATCCATCCACACACAAACACGGAAGGGCCCCTTGGAGGAAGGCTGGAAGCAGCCCCCGGGGTCCCAGGGCTATCCTGGGGCCCTCCCCGCTCCCCGGATTTCTGCAGGCTGCCCTCAGGAGGACCTCAGCTGTTGCAGGGGCAGGGTGACAGGGATGCCCCGGGGAGACCAGGCACGTGGTCTGAGACCAGGGAGACCAGGCGCCTCTGCTGGGCGTGGCATTTCTTAGCTAATCAAGTCCACGGTCGAGCTGTACATTTGCTGCTCAACCGTATTTAAGTTTTTTTTTTTTTAATTCCTAGCCTTTACAGACTAAGAGCTTTGAACACACTTTTTACAATGAACTTGAAACAGAAGAGTCCTTACCTCCCGTTTCTTTCCTTCCAAATTCCCCTTCAAAGCCCGTGTTTTCCCAACAGGAAACGTAGCTTGTTTGCTCCTCAAGGCTGGACATGCCTCCGGGTGATGAGTCCATCCAAGGCCAACAGGCCCTCGGCAGGAGGGCAAGGCAGGCGTGGGCAGCTCCTGTCCCCAGACTCTTCAGCACTTGTTTTTAACCCTTTAGTAACCAGACTCCCAAACCAGCCCGGACGAGGGGGACCCCGGGGCCTGGGAGCCGTTCCCGCTGTTCCCCGTCAGAGAGGCGCCCGTGCTGGAGCTGGGCAGGTGGACACAGACTGCATTGTCAGCTCTGAGGGTGCTTTGGAGCTCACACGGGTCAGCAGCTCTGGTTGGCTACAGCTTGATGTCATGGGAATTCCTGCACGTGGCCGAGAGGAGAGGACTTCAGTGAGGCACGTTAGCTGGTAGAGGCTCTGCCAACTTGCTCCATGTTCTCATGGAAAGTCACTCCTGCAGCCCTGCAGTGTGCCCAGCGGTCCACGACAACCTCAGATGCCCAGGGCAGCTTGTGGGGGAGGCGACAGGGATGCTGCAACCAGGGAAGGGACGCCCCTGGCCCTGCCTGGACTCAGATCCCGCTCTCACCCATCCGGGCGTTTTGGTCATTTGCAGAAATGTCCCCACCTTGCCTGAACCCAGAGCCACGGGAGATCCTGCAGAAGGTGAAGAATGTTCTAGAACAATGCAAGTCCTGCCAGGGATGCCCCGAGGGACCAGGGTCCCCCGGTGTCCACAGAGCATCCAGTGGTGCAAGCCTGCCAGACACCGAGGAACCCTCCTTCTGCCTGGACGCGGGAGATGACTGGGCCGACCCCGAGGCCCTGGGCTCCCGGCTCCTGTTCCTGGATGCGCTCGGATTCCAGGCCGGTTTCCAGGGCCTGTACGACCTCTCCCCGCCCACGCTGAGCGGCGTGTTCGGCGGCTTCACCGATGAGGAGGAGCTGGTCAGGTGGCTGGCCGAGGCCCGCGGGGTGGCCAAAAAGGCCGGGCTGCCCATGGCCCTGGCTAGGCTCTGCTTCCTGCTGGGACGGCTGTGCGTGCGGCAGCTGAAGCTGTCCCAGGCCCGCGTGTACTTCGAGGAAGCCCTGGGCGTGCTTGGGGGCCGCTTCGGGGACCTGGTCCTGGTGGCAGCCGTGTACACCTGCCTGGCCTCTGTCCACCTGCGGCAGAAGAACAAGGAGAAGTGCGCACAGGTGGTGCCCAAGGCCTTGGCCCTGCTCCTGGGGACGCCCGGCCATGTTGGCAGCTCCGAGGCCGAATCCGGCCTCCTGACCCTGGCTCTGCGGAGGGCCATCGGCGGCCGCAGCCCGCAAGCTGAGGCCCGGGCCTGCTTCTTGCTGGCCAAGCACCATGCCCGCCTCAAGCAGCCGGAGGAGGCCCTGCCCTTCCTGGAGAGGCTGCTGCTGCTGCTCCCCGGGGCGGCGGGGACCCTGGGCACCTCCTGGCCCACGGACTGCTACCTGCTGCTGGCGGGAATCTACAGCCAAAGGTGCCTGCCGCACCTGGCGCTGAGCTGCGTCAGGGTGGCCTCGCTGCGGGCACGGGGCTCGCTGGGCAGCGCGCTCCGGAGCACGGCCCTGGTCCTGCAGAACAGCCCGCGACTCCCCGTGCTGCCTGCCCAGCTCACTCACTACCTCCGGCAGGCGCTGGCCTCCCCGGCCTCCGGCTCTGGGCGGGCCCTGCACGGCCCCATCTACGCCAGCCTGGCCCAGCTGTACAGCCAGCACGGGTGGCAGGGCAGGGCCATTGCCTTCATGACGCAGGCCGTGGAGACAGATGCCCGGCTGGGCGGCCGCGCCGTCGTGGACCATGTGGTGGCCCTGGCCTGGCTGCACGTCCTTCACGGGCAGAGCCCAGCAGCCCTGGACATCCTGGAGTCCGTCCTGGAGGCGGCGGCGGCCACCCCGGACCAGGAGGGCCTGATCGCCAACATGACAGCCATCGCCCTGAAGAGGACCGGCAGGACCCGGCAGGCGGCCGAGGGCTACTACCGCGCCCTGAGGGTGGCCCGGCGCCTGGGCCGCCCGCGGAACGAGGCGGTGGTCCTGGCCAACTTCGGGGCCCTGTGTCTGCAGGCCGGCGCCAGCGGGCTGGCGCAGCACTACCTCCTGGAGGCCGTGAAGCTGTTTTCGCGGCTGCCCAGCAGGGAGGGCGGCCCGGACTTCACCCGGGTGCTGCTGCGGCTGGGGGACCTGTGCATCCACAGGGCGCTCGCCCGGCAAGCCAAGTGCTACTACGAGTGGGCCTTTCTGGTTGCCGTGGAGATGGACCACTGGGAGAGTAAGTGTCAGAGCTGCTGCGGCTGGGGGACCTGTGCATCCGCAGGGCGCTCGCCCGGCAAGCCAAGTGCTACTACGAGTGGGCCTTTCTGGTTGCCGTGGAGATGGACCACTGGGAGAGTAAGTGTCAGGCACGCTGGCTGCCTGGGAAGCCAGCAAGCAAGGGCTCTTTCCACGTCTGTTCAGAGAGTCCTGGGGGTTATGACTCGGAGGCGAGCGGTTGCTTCTCCACCGAGAATGCCTAGTAGTGGGAACTGGCAGGTGCTTTGAGGTGCCCCATGCTGGGCCAGATGTCACCATGGCAACCAGCTCATCCCAGCTTGCCTGGGATCATCCTGCTTTCTGCACTGAAAGTCCCGAAGCCAGGAATCCTGGCCATCTCGGGCAGACAGCCAGTGGGAGACCCCGGATGCAGCCCAGGCCAGCCGGGGGGCCGCCAAGCCAAAGCGGCCACATGGGCCTTGCATACCGGGTGCTTTGCTGGCGCTGTATCCTTCACGTCTCCCAACAGTTGGGCACTCCAGACACCTCCCCCAGCTCAGAGCGTGCGGGGCAGCTGCTGCAAGTGGCAGGCTCTGGGCGGGGCTCCACTAGCAAACACGCCTGAGTGGTCCTTGCTGGGGGCTGGTGGTCAAGCCACAGGAAACAGATGCTCGGGTCACAAGAGCCACAGAAGCTGGCGCTCAACTTGATGGTGGGGCAGCTCCAAGCCCCAGCTGGTAGGGGGCCGGCTGTTTAGTCTGGGATCCAAGGGATGAAAAGAATTTTAGCCAAGTTTGGGAGGGAGGGGGCCTGGCAGGAGGCGTAGCCTGTGCAAAGGCCCTGGGGTGAGTGACTGGGCCCTGCAGGGTGGTGCCAAGTTTGGAATGAGTGGCTCGGGTGATGGGTGGTGAGAGCCTCAGGTGGGAAGCTAGGCAGGGGCCCAAGACCCCAGGCTGGGGTTTGGCATTTTCCTGAGAGCACTGAGGAGCAATAGAGGGATGTAGGTTCCACTCAGTGAGGCTGGAAGGGGAATCCCCTGGACCTCCAGGAGGAGCCAGGAGCTGGGTCCCCCGACCTGCCCTGTGGCCTTGGGCACTTGTGGGCAGTGGTCACTAAAGGCACGTGGCCCCCCACTGGCCTCTCAGAAACCATCTGTGACCTCCCACACCCCCAACCCAGGGACTGGGGGATTCAGACTTGGGAGTGCACAGCTGAGGGACCCAGGAGGCTCCCCAGGGGGTCAGGGGATCTGCCCCTCTCCCATATGGAACAGCGAGGGGACACCCAGGGTCACCCAGTCCTTGCGCTTCCTTTTTCAGTCCATTTCACTAGTTTGTGTCTTTCTAGGATTTGTCCATTTCATCTGGGTCGTCTCACTTGTTGCCGTAGAGTCGTTCACAGCTCCCCCTTTATTCCCATAAATCTGTAGTGATGCCCCGTCTTTCCCTCCTGATCTTAGTCATCTTCAGCTAACTCCTTTCTTTCCTTGGTTAGTCTGGCTAAAACTTTGTCACTTTTGTTAACCTTTTCAAAGAGCCATGATTTGGTTTCATTGCTTTTCTCTATTTTTCTATTCTCTACTTTATTATTTTATCATCTCCGCTTGAACTTTGATTTTTCCTTTCTTTTGCTTGACTTGGAGTGAGTTAACTTTTTCTAGTTTCTTAAGGGTGAACTTTAGGTTTTTGATTTGAAATGTTTATTCTTTTTTGCTTGTTCATTTTTTTAAATACTTAGCTATTTGATTGAGCTGGCCTTAGTTGCAGCATGCAAAGTCTTAGTTGCAACATGCGGGATTTAGTTCCCTGATCAAGGATTGAACCCAGGTCCCCTGCATTGAGAGTGCAGAGTCGTCACCAGTGGACCACCAAGGAAGTCCCCAATTTCCTTCCTTGGCCCACTGGTGATTTGATGGTGGTGGTTTAACTGCTAAGTCATGTCTGACTCTTAGACCACCAGGTCATTTTCAATAGCGTAAATTCCCAACTGTTCCCAGTCCTCTGGCTTTAGAACAGGTGAGTAAGGCTGTGGACTTGGAGCCCGGCTTCACGAAGGCGCATCAGCTGTGGAAAGCAGGAGCTGGGTGTGAATCCCGTCTCCGCCTCACACCCTGTGCTCCAGCTTTGGGCTCGGCTTGCCTGTCTGCCTCGTGGGGGTGCTGGTGATCCATCTGGTGGGGGCTTAGCCCCTGTTCGGGCTTCCCTGGCAGCTCCGGTGGTAAAGAACCTGCCTGCCAAAGCAGGAGACATGGGTTCAAGCCCTGGGTCAGAAACATCCCTTGGAGGAGGAAACGGCAACCCACTCCAGTGTTCTTGCCTGGAGAATCCCATGGACAGAGGAGCCTGGCGGGCTTCAGTCCATGTGCTTGCAAAGAGTTGGACGTGACTGAGCAGCTGAGCGAGCTCGCATGCAGCCCCTATCTGGCTGGGAGGAGCTTTGTGAGGCAGAAACCTGTCCCGGTCCATCAGGGGAGCGCAGCCGGGACCGCCCAGCCTGGGAGCTCTATAGGCATCAGCGCCGTCCCTCGAGCGTCTGTGACGTGCCCTGCCTGGCCCCGTCACGGCTACTGGCCGGCTGTGTGGCCTCGAGCGGACACCCAGCCTGTCCCTGCGTGGAGCGACCCCAGCTCACGGGGGCGGAGGCGCTGCAGGGCCCGCGGACCCCCGAAGGTTGCCGCGGCGCCTGACGGGGCCTCTCCCTTCCGTCTCCCGCCAGGCCAGCTGCTCGCCGTCCGGCGGCTCTGTCACTTCTACAGCGCGGTCGTGCCCAACGAGGCCCGGTGCGTCGTCTACCACGAGTTCCAGCTCTCGCTGGCCCGCAGGGCGAACGACAAGGGGCTGGAGGGGCAGCTCCTGGAGACCATAAGCCAGCTCTACCTGGCCCTGGGCACCGAGCGGTGAGGCCCGGCGCCGGGGCGGGGAGGGTGCCGGACGCCATCCTAGGACAGTCCCTCTGTCCTTAGAGTCAGTCGGGCGCTGAGCCAGGAGGTCCCGTCTTGTCCCCAAGGGGTGGGGGTGGAGCATGTGTTTCTGAGTCATCCTTCCTTCCGTGGTAGCTTCTGGAAGCTGACCCCAGCCTGCCCTGTGTTCCCGCTGGCCCAGCACTAGGCCATGTAGTCTGGTCCTCGTTTGTCCCCTCACGTGTGAGGACAGCGACCGTGTGTGCCTGGAGGGTCCTCGTCCACAGGAGACAGTGACCGTCCTGCTTGCTTCCCCAGAGCAGGGTTTCGGGGTCATGTGTGAAGCCCACCCAGAGTGTCCTGACTGGGGGAGGGGGACAGATGGCTGGACCACACAGCTCGCATGCTGGCGGAGTCTCATAACACCCCATCCAGCGTGGGGGCTCTCCGAGAGCAGAGAAGGGGCTGGATTCCCTGGGACTCTGGAGGGACGCCTCTCACCCTGGGGCCTCAGTTTCACAGCAGGTCCAATGGGCCAGCACCCTTGACCAACGCTCCTCAAAGTGGGGTCCCGGGGTCAGCACGTCCGCCTCACCCGGGTGCTGGTCGGAGATGCGCATTCCTAGGCTTCCCAGGGGGCTCAGAGGTAAAGAACCTGCCTGCCAATCCAGGAGATGCAAGAGACGCAGGTTTGATCCCTGGGTTGGGAAGATCCCCTGGAGAAGGGCACAGCAACCCACTCCAGTATTGTTGCCTGGAGAATCCCATGGACAGAGGAGCCTGGTGGGCTACAGTCCCCGGGTTTACAAAGAGTCAGACATGACTGAGCACACACATGTGGCAGGCCTCACCCGGGCCTCCTGAGCCAGCAGCTCTGGGAGCCAGGCCCTGCCATCTGTGTCTGACCAGCCCCCTGGGCGGTTCTGATGCTCCATCTGTGTCAGAACCCCTGGCCTGGACGGGCTCTCAAGCACTGCCCAGGGGCCACGATCCCTGCTGTGTCTGGAGGTGACGTGGGCCTGTGTGTGTGGAGGTGGGGCAGAGATGAGCTGCTCACTCCCTAAGGCCCCACGGCTGCCTGCTTCCCTCCCGAGGGCCTCCTCACCTTTGCTGGACAAGGGCCATGTGTTGCCCCGGTCTCCCGTCGGCCTGGACGTGCAGGCTCTGGGCCTAGCCCCCTGATGCCCCGGGTCCAGGGTGTCCAGACGGGCTCTCAGGCAGAGCCTGGTCCCCCTCCACGCAGCGGGGCGGCCGGCCCGGGAGGCCCTGCCCTGAGCACCCACGTCTCACCCCAGGGCCTACAGGTCCGCCCTGGAATACACGAAGCGCAGCCTGGGTGTCTTCATCGACCTTCTGAAGAGGGACAAGGAGGCGCAGGCTTGGCTGCAGGCGGGGAAGATCTACTACGCGCTGCGGCAGGGCGAGCTGGTGGACCTGTACATCCAGGCGGCGCAGAACGCCGCGCTGTACACGGGGGACCCCGGCCTGGGGCTGCGGCTCTTCGAGGAGGCCGGAGACATCTTCTTCAACGGGACGTGGGAGCGCGAGAAAGCGGTGTCCTTCTACCGGGTGAGCGCCCCCCACCCCCGCCCCGTGGGTCCAGGCGAGTGAGCTTCAGGGGCGACCCTCCTGGGGAGCGGGACCTCCCCACCTCGCGCACATGCTTAGCTTCTGGGTGGTTTGGTCAGGGATTGTCCCAACCCCCTGCCCCAGCCTGGGCGGGACAGAGCAAGAAACGCCCATCAGATGACTTGCCTCCCAGGGATCCACACAACCCTGGGAGGCAGGGCCTGGCCCCACTTTACAGAGGAGGAAATCAGCTCAGAGAGGCGCAGGGGCAGGTCCCAGGACACAGCACATCAGATGGAGGGCCGCTGGGACCAGGGCCCATGTCTGCACATGCCTCCCAGGGAGGGCGGCGTTTCCGCCTCTGTCTGACCAGCTCGCGTGTGGCTGGGCCCCAGGGTACAGATAAAAGTAGCCTCTTCAGTGCCCAGGGCGTGCTGGACCCTCCTGGTCAGGCCCCCTGCGCCCAGGAGGAGCAGGGCTGGTCTGAGGGCATGTGGTGTAGTCTGACGGGCAAGGCTCACACCCCTTGCTCATGCCCCAGTGGCCCTGGGGGTGGCACGCTGCTGTGCACTGATGGTGTGGTGTTGGTTGGAAGGGTTTCCCAGGTGGCACTAGTGTTAAGGAATCTGCCTGCCAATGCCAGTGCAGGAGATGTAGGAGACGCGGGTTCCATCCCTGGGCCAGGGCGATCCCCTGGAGGAGGACATGGCCACCCACTCCGCTATTCTTGCCTGGAGAATCTCATGGACAGAGGACCCTGGTGGGTTACAGCCCATGGGGTCGCAAAGAGCCAGACATGCCCGAAGCGACTTAGCACGCGAAGCTCCTATGGGTTCACAGGGGCAGACCTGGAGGCCCTCGGGACGACATGGGCCTGGCCGCCCGTTGTGGGAGGAGGTAGGCCTGACCTGCCCCCTGTCCTCCAGGACCGGGCGCTGCCCCTGGCGGTGTCCACGGGGAGCCAGGAGGCCGAGCTGCGGCTCTGCAACAAGCTGTCCGCGCTGCTGGCTGAGATGGAGACGCCCCAGGAGGGCCTGGAGTTCGCCCACACGGCCCTGGCGCTCAGCCTCACCCTGGGTGAGCCCCGCACCCCGCCCCGAGAGCCCCCCACCCCTGAGGTCTGGGTGGGGCCTCCAGTCCTCCTGCCTGCAGTCTCCTCTCCCCTGCCCCGAGCCAGGCTGCTGAGGTGGGCCGCAGAGAACCTGTCCCGCCCCGCCTGGGCATCGGCACTGTGCCTGTCCCACCCCTCCCTTGCTGGCTAGCGGGCTGGCCGGGGCACCCTGCACCACGGACAGTCGGGGACCCTCCAGACGCGGCCGCCCGGTGCCTTTCTGCCCGCTGTGCCCTCTGGTCCTCCCTGCCCCGCTGGCCCCCAGGCCCCGCTGCTCTCTGCCAACCAAACCCCGTCCGCCTCTCTGGGGGCCTGTCCCTCCATGCCCGGCTCTTCTAGGCCGTCTGTCTTCCCCGAGGCAAGGAGCCCGACAGGGCCGAGCGCACAGTAGGTGTGCCCCCGGGGGGTGGGTGTGGGCCTCCAGATCTTGCAGAGCTCACCCCGGAAGCGGGAGGATTTTGCAGGCAGCCTCGTCTGATGCCTCCCCCTGAGGATGGGGTGGGGGGCGGCTGAGGATATAGCAGGGAGGCTAAAGGTCGTGTCTGTAGGGGCACAAACTGCAGGCTTCTGGGTTCTCCCAGTCAGAATAAGCAAAGCACCCTGTCCAGGGGACTCTATGCAGGCCTGGGCTGGGGGGTGTCCTGCTCCACAACTTTGCCACATCCCCGAGATGCCAGGAGAGCGGGCATCGTTAGGTGCCCCTTACAGACGGAAGGAGGAGGGCAGGGGAGCCCACTCCAGTCTCCTTGCCTGGAGGATCCCGTGGACAGAGGAGCCTGGCGGGCTACAGTCCATGCGGTCACAGAGTTGGACCCGACTGAAGCGACTTAGCACAAATGGGATGTCGGGTGGGGGCTGGGAGGGGGCTGGCTGGGCTGTGAGATGTCATCCGCCCCCCTCGGCTTCCCCAGGGGACCAGCTGAACCAGCGGGTGGCCTGCCACCGGCTGGCCGCCCTGCACCGCCGGCTGGGCCACGGCGAGCTGGCCGAGCACTTTTACCTCAAGGCGCTGGCGCTCTGCACCTCGCCACTGGAATTCGACGAGGAGACCCTCTACTACGTGAAGGTGTACCTGGCGCTTGGCGACATCATCTTCTACGACCTCAAGGTTCGGAGGGTGCAGGCAGGGCCTGGTGCCGGGGTGTGGGGGCCGTCGCCTGGCTCTGGGTGTTTGGGAGGCATCGCGGTCCTCTTCCTCAAGTCCCGGGGGTCTCCCCGGAGCTCTGGGCCCCCCTGTGAGCTGCAGGCAAGGCCAGTGAATACTCTCCTTGCTTCCAGGCGGGTCAGGCCTTGCTCTCAAGAGCTCAGGGTCAGTGGGGGAAGCTGCCACGGGTTAAAGGACGAAATGAGTGTAGATGGGTGGCAGGGGGCTTCTGGATGGGGTGACTGCAAGGCTGTGTCTTGACTAAGTGGCGGGGGGCTTCTGGATGGGGTGACTGCAAGGCTGTGTCTTCACTGTCCAGCAGGAGTGGCCACAAAAAATGTAGGAAGTGGATAAAGACCTTCCTGGGGTGGGGGAAATTGACAAAGCGGGAAAATGAAAGTCGCTCAGTCGTGTCCGACTCTCTTCAACCCCATGGACTATACAGACTATGGAATTCTCTAGGCCAGAATACTGGAGTGGGTAGCCTTTCCCTTCTCCAGGGGATCTTCCCAACCCAGGGATCCCGCATTGCAGGTGGATTCTTTACCAGCTGAACCACAAGGGAGAAGTGTCACCATTATTCCCAGAGACCCATGTTGCAAGCTGGGCTTCCCAGGTGGTGCTAGCAGTAAAGAACCCGCCTGCCAGTGCAGGAGACAATAAGAGACGCGGGTTCGATCCCTGGGTTGGGAAGATCCCCTGGAGGAGGGCATGGCAATCCACATTCTTGCCTGGAGAATCCCCACAGACAGAGCCGCCTGGCGGTCTTACAGTCCATAGTGTTGTGGCTAACTGTTTCATGTTCAGGTTGCAAGGAACAGCCCACACCCTGACACCTCCTCCAGGAAGCCTGCCAGTCTGTGCAGAGCTCTTCCTTTCTTCCTTCCCGGAAGCTCCATATCACCTGGATTGGGGGAGAGGAGGTGCACTCTTTACCGTCTTGCTGTATAGAGAGGGAAACCAGGACTCGGGTGGGGCGTGACTTGCCCCAGATTTTTACGGCAGGAACCCCTGGCACCCTGGCTGAGCCCCTGCCCGGTCGGAGCTGCAGAGGCGGGAGCTGGGGCCGCTTTTCCATTCGTCTGTGAGCCCTGCAGTGGATGAGACAAGGGCCTGGGGATGTCTGCTCTATTGCCCCTTCCCCCTCCCCCACACAGGCAGACGTCAGCCCCACTCTGGGTCTACCCCTGCCTCTGCACCGTGTCCCTGATCTGTGTTGCTTGAGGAGGGAGGGTGCCCCAGCCCGGGGCTGAGTTCTCCGCTTCCGCCTCCCCAACCAGCGGCAGCTAGGAGCTGGAGCGGCGCAGGAAGGCCCACTACTGCCCACGGGTGACCCCCAGCCCAGACTGCGCGCTGGCGCCACCTGCTGGCCATAAGGCATCCCTGCAGCCACCGCAGGGTCCAGCGCGGGGGGCTTCCGTGGGCAGTGGTGGCCCCTGCAGCTGAGCCCCCCATCCCGAGGTCCGGGCCCCGGGCTGCTCGGGATTTGTGTGGTCAGTGGTGACCCTGCAGCTGAGCCCCCCATCCCGAGGTCCGGGCCCCGGGCTGCTCGGGATTTGTGTGGTCAGTGGTGACCCTGCAGCTGAGCCCCCCATCCCGAGGTCCGGGCCCCGGGCTGCTCGGGATCTGTGTGGTCAGTGGTGACCCTGCAGCTGAGCCCCCCATCCCGAGGTCCGGGCCCCGGGCTGCTCGGGATCTGTGTGGCTGGCTCTCCAAGTGCTTTGCTGCAGCAGGAGCTGGTGCCCCCACGGGACACGGAGGGGACTAGGCTAGGCGTGGACAGCTGGTTAGGGCAGAACGAGGGGCAGTGGGCTGGGGCTTCAGTGACTGGGACCCTGCAGCCCTGCGGAGAAAGGGGGGCCTGAGGGCTCTGTCCTGGAGGTGGGGGCTGCTGCGCTGCCTTTACGGACCGTCTCTGTAGCTCACGTGTGTTGTCGTAGCAGAAGGAGCTAGACTTAGACTAGGAAAGATGTGGGTGTGAATCCTAGACCTGCCACCCACTAGCTTCTACACACACGTGTACACACATGCAGAGGAATGCACACCCAGCCCCCTCCACCACCCACTCTGGCCAGTTCCTTCCATTTAGTTGGGATGCCCCCTCCTCCAGGAAGCCCTCCCCTCCCACCCCAGGTTGAGTCAGGTGCTTCCCAGGCTCCTGCAGGCTGCCGAGCTTCCCTGTGCTTCAGGGCTGGTCGCACCTTCTGGTTGCTGTTGCCCAGAGTCAGCTGTGTTTGGCTCCCTGCCCGCTCCCCCCAACACACACACACACACACACACACACACACACAGGGTCCCCCCACCTGGCCTGGGGACAGTAACTGCTACACACACCTGCTTCTCTTGTCTCCTGGGCCTTTGCTCTGTGTGGGGGGCAGTGACAAGCCAGGGCTGGTGACTGGACTTTATCCTCTGTCCTCCGGAGCCCCTGTGAGCAGGAGTGGACAGTCAGGTTTGGGTTTAATGCCGGCCTTCGGGTGACCTCTGGTGGGAGACATGGAGACTGGGGTGGGAGACAAAAGTTGGCAGGGGTGAGGGGTCGTGGGACATCCCAGCCTGGGGATTGTGCGTTCAGGGCAAAGATGCATCTGAACTGGGAGCTTGTGCCCTGGTGGGGGTGGGGGGTGGTTCACGTCCCCTTGTGGTCGCAGGATATTCTGAGAGGTCACATCTATGAGCCTCTTTGCACCGGGCCTGGCGCAGGGAAGGCCGGGCATGCTGGCATCAGTGTGGACGTGGGCTGCAGGGGTCAAGTCAGGCCACCCTGGGCCACGTGGCCCTGCAGGGACCTCTCAGACCCCAGCCTCCCAGACCTCAGCTCGGCCCAAGGGGAAGCCACGGATTATCTTCCAGAGGCCCCAGGGTTGAGCAGGAAAGAGGCTTCTGGGAGGAGGAGACTGGATACTACAAGGTCCAAGGCCCCGGCTCCAGGGCCAAGGTGGGGAGGGTGGATCGGGGGTCCCAGGGCCATCAGGACGCCAGTCCAGGCCTGCGTGATGCCCGGTCACTCTCAGACAGCCGTGGGAGGAGCACGTGGTTCCTCCCTGGGGGAAACATGCAGGGCCCATCCAGAGGCGCCCAAGATGGCTTGTCTGGGGCGAGCAAGTGTCCTGCCCGCCTGGAGCACTCGCGGGCCCAGCCCTGGAGCTGCCCTGGCCGGGGGCCTAGCTCAGGGAGAAGCTCCCCCGAGGCCCCCCGCCCTGGCGCGGTGCTGTCCCCTCGGTGACTCGCCGTCTGTCTCCAGGACCCGCTGGACGCGGCCGGGTACTACCAGCTGGCGCTGGCGGCGGCCGTGGACCTGGGCAACAAGCGGGCCCAGATGAAGCTCTGCACACGCCTGGCCACCATCTACCACCACTCGCTCCTCGACCGCGAGATGTCCCTCTTCTTCTACCAGAAGGCGCGGACCTTCGCCACCGAGCTTCGCGTCCGCCGGGGCCCCCTGGTCCCCGGGCCCCCGTCCTGAGCCCAGGCCTCGCAGGCACGGCCTCCGGCTGGCCCAGGGTCTCGGGGGCTGGTTTCCTGGGAAAGGGAGGCACACGGTCAAGGGGCCAAGCAGCAATAAATGTGTTTTGCAGAAAGCCTTCTGGAGTCCCCAGGCTCCCCCTTCCCTGGACTGCCTCCTGGAGAGTATCCGGGGATCAGGCCCCGTCCCCGGGGGGCCGTTCCGCTGCTGCACCCCATCCTCGGGTGTGGGCGGTTAGGACTGGGAGTCCAGCCATCCCAGGCCAGGTCCCCCCAGCAGGTCAGCTGCGGGTGGTGGGATTCCCTGGGCACCTTCTCCCTTCCCTAGACCCTCACCGAGTGTCCAGCCCTGGGTCTTCTCTGCTTTGAATCCTCGAACCACATTTCGAGGTCAGGACTGCTCATCTCCTGATGAACAGTCGAAGAAACGGAGGCACAGAGAGGTTTGGTGCATTGCCCACGGTCACACAGCAGGTAGGAAGGGGCGGAGAGCCGGAGTGCCCCGGCGGAGTAAGCCAGTGTACTCACCCCTGCACCAGCCTCCCTCACATCATGCGTCCCATTAGGACCTGAGGGCAGGGACCTCCCCCAAACCCCTCTGCCCCTCATCTGGGACGGAGACAGGAGAAGGGGCTCCAAGGATTCCCCCACCTGGGTGTCCTCCGGCCCAGCCTGGCCAGTCCCATCTGTGGCTCCCGGTTAGCTGTCGGGACACATGGCGGCAGGGCCTCCAGCCCACGTGGCGTCCACTGACTGCTGAGTGTAGTTAAAGACTTATCTGGACCGCCTACCCCAGCCCTGCCCTCCCCCTCTCCTGTCCCTCCCAGCGACCCGCCGAGGGCTGGGAATCCAGGCGGGCTTGAAACCGGCTCCTGACGCACAGATGGGGCGCTGAGGCTCGGAGGCCGTGGGCAGCCCCATGGCGCCCTTCCGAGCGTCTCCTTTTGATGACATGAAATGCACATCATGTGTGTGCCTATGTGGGTGCTTAATCGCTCAGTCGTGTCCGACTCTTTGCGGTCCAGCGGACTGTCGCCCTCCAGGCTCCGCTGTCCATGGGATTCTCCAGGCAAGAGTACTGGAGTGGGCTCCAGGGATCAAACCCAGGCCTTCTGCACTGAAGGCAGATTCTTGACCGTCTGAACCACCAGGCAAGCACATGCATCACGTCGCAAGTGGATAATTCAGTGGCGTAGGGAACACCGGCAATGTTGTGCAGCCACTGCTCCCTGTAGTTGCTAAACATCTCCGTGTCCCCAAAGAAGCCTCCTGGACCACCAGGCAGTCACGGCCCCTCCCATCTCTCTCCCCAGGACCCCTGTTAACAGAAGGAAACAGAGTCAGGAGAGCCCCAGTTTGCTTCTGCGCCCAGGAGGCGGAGCCGGGAAGGCCTGGGTCGGAGGAGGCGGGCAGGGTGCTCCACCATTCTGTGGTCCTGGGGTCCCGGAGCCCCAAAGTCCTCTTCCTGCTCAGAGGTGCCTGCAGGCCCCCCTCCACCCAGGCCTCTCCCGCCAGGGGGCAGCAGAGAACTTTCCAGAAGCAGCAGCTCCCAGGCGGGAGGGAGCAGGTCCCAGCAGCGGGGCCAACAGACTTCCCTGGAACCCTGACCCTGGGCTGCCTTCTCTGAGGGCTGGGTGGGTTCGCACAGTGGGCGGAGGCCACGCTGCAATTGAAAACACGAAGACGTGAAAACACGCCCGTGCTGGGGGCGGCGGGAAGCCCCATCACAGTGACCCCGGGGTCACGGGCTTCCTGGGCAGCTGCCTGGCTGGGCCTACAGCCGCGCCGCGCGGGGTGGGGCCCGGGTCACTCCTGGCCCACCACCTGCCTCAGAACCCGCGCGTCCCTGGCCGTCCAGGAGCCGATAGGTTTCCGCTGCTCCCACCCAGGGTCCCAGCCTCACACCCTAGGCCCCCTGGGGGCTTGGGCAGCCCAGGACCCTTGCTCTGCGGCGGCAGATCTGGAGTTGCAGGTGAGGCCCGGTTGTCCAACCTGTGGGTTCAAATCCCAGCTCCTCACGTACAGGCTGTGGGGCTTCGGGCGAGCAGCTTTACTTCTCAGAGTACCAGTCTGGTCGCAGCCAAGACAGGGCTGATGATCGCTGCGTCTGGGGTTGAAGTGAGGATTTGAGAAGCTGAGGGCTCGGCTCAGAGCTGGGGCTAACAGTGGCCTGTTTCCTACTAGCGGTGATGATTGCCAAGGGCCGGGCCTCAGCAACCGCAGGCTACAGAACCCGGAACCAGAGCGTGAGTCACTCTGATCAAGTCGCCCGGCCTCTCAGACCCTCAGTCTCTTCTTTGTCTGTAGCTAAAAACAAGCCCCACACCAGGGTTCTGAGGTGAAGAGACACTGTACCAGCGCGGAGCAAGCAGGTGCCGCAGGGCAGCCAGCCCCCACGCCCGGCCCCCACCTGTGGCCGAGGCTCGGAGCAGGCAGGTGGAGGCCAGCGCTTGGCTGCCGTGGGCCCAGACAGGGAGAGTGGCTGTCTCAAGGATGCACAGCGTGAGTCATCTCCATCATGAAGGTGGAGCCACAGCAGCCCATCACCTCGGAACAAAGGGCGGGCTGAAGCCGCAAGGAGGTGGCTGTGTCTCGGCACGAGGCTGGATCCTTGGGCCGAGTCCTCCAGAGAAGGGAGAGCTCATCTCAGGGAGGAGGGAGCTCTCTGCCATCAGAGGGGTTCAAGCGGGCCCCGGAGGCCCCCTTGCGAATGGGGAGGTGTGGCTAGACAGCCCTGAGAGTCTGCAAGGGAGGTAAGATGCCGCTCAGACTGGGGTCTGCGTTGGCTGTGACCCCCCACATTTTTGGGGATCCCAGCCGTCGGCTTGTGCTTCTGTGGGTGCCCGGGGCCTGGCTCGGTTGGGGCCGGGGGGCGGCGGTCGGCCACAGGCTCCGTGGTGCTGGGAGCCGTCTGCCACAGCTGGGCAGGGGTCTGTGCAAGGTCAAGTCTGGCCTGTGCCTCTCTCAGGCCTGCTGTGACCTGGAGCAGCCAGCAAAAGGTACCTTTTGTGTGTCACTGTGCCCTGCCTTCCGTGAGCCTCAGTTTTCTCATCTGTAAAAGGGGTGTGTTCCTCGTCAGACTGTTAACAAGACTGTGTGCTAAGTTGCTCCAGTCGGGTCTGACTCTGTGACCCCGTGGATTGTAGCCTGAGAGGCCCCTCTGTCCGTGGAATTTTTCAGGAAAGATACTGGAGTGGGCTGCCATGCCCTCTTCCAGGGGATCTTCCTGACCCAGGGATTGAACCCATGTCTTTTATTGTCTTCTGCATTGGCGGGTGGGTTCTTTACCACGCGTGCCTAACAACAGCATAGCTAGTATTCTCCCCCATCATCGACAGTGAGGGTTGATGTAAAACAATGAGTAAAGACAAGGATGCGCTTTCACCCAGAGGGAAGGCAGAATTCTAAAACGGCCGATATAAACCCCTTCTCTGGAGTGAAACTGTGAATGTGATGGGATTTCCCTCCCTTAGTTAGGTTGGTGGTGGTGGTGGTTTAGTCGCTAAGTCACTTCCGACTCTTGCGACCCCATGGACTGCGTCCTGCCAGACTCCTCTGTCCATGGGATTCTCCAGGCAAGAATACTGGAGTGGGTTGCCATTTCCTTCTCCTTAGTTAGGTTATGTATGTGCAAAGGTGAAGGTTTTGCAGATGCAATTAAGGTCTCTAATCAGTTGACTGAGTTTCTCAAACAAGGTGGGCCTGACCTAATCGGGTGAGTCCTTTATAAGCGGGCCCAGACTTCCCTGCAGAGAGCTGGGATGCTGAAAACAGGATCTACCAGCTTGAAGAATGCCATGGGGCAAACGTCCTATGGAGGGGGCCACGAGACGAGGAGCTGAGCGGTCCCCAGCTGGCAGCCCTCCAGGGTATGGGACCGCCCTCCTGCAGCCATAAGGAGCTGCATTTTGCCAATGACCACATGGCCTGGAAGGCGCTCCTGATTCTCAGATGAGATCACGGCCCAGCTTGACCACGTTCTGCCGAGACCCCGAGCAGAGAACTGACCACAGAAGGTGTGAGATAGGTGGCAGGCGTCTTTTGAGCCACTCTGCTTGTGATTGCTTGTGACAAAGCACAGATAACGAACACTGAGGCCGAGCCCCAGGTGTGCCTGCAGCCTGCAGCCCCGCCTGAAAGGACCCACATCCAGCGACACGCCAGCGCCCCTCTCCCAGAGACCTCCATCCTCACCCGCCCGCTGCCCACCCTCTGCAGGCTCTACGAGTCCACACGCGAGGCCTTGAGGTTCAGCTCCTAACACCAGGAGCTGAGGACAGAGGGAGACAGGGAAGCCTGGGGATCGGGACCCCAGGCTCTCAGCCGCCCGTCCGCACAGCTGAGGACCCCCGGGGAAGCCTGGACTTCAGGGCCTCCCTCGCGGAGCAGAGGGCAACCTTCTGGGTGGGCCTGGGTCCATGGGGATGCCGCAGGGCACTACTCCGCCCCCACCCCCACCCCGGGGCAGTCACGTCTGGCCACAACACGACCCTTGCTTGCCCCGGGGCTGCGCTCAACAATTTCCTAATCACTGCGGCTTCGGGCTGGCTTCGCCCTAAATCCCGGGAAGGGGGAATGCTGGGTAAGAGTGTCTCCAGGAGACAGGGGCGTCAACGCTGGAACACAGAGAAGGGGTGGGTTCTGCGTCTCTGACGGCTCCCGGGAGCCCCACGTGCAGGGTGAGGAGACCTCTTCAGGGACTGGTCGATCTGGGGAGGCTGTGAGGCTGGAGGAGGACAGGGCTGGGATTCCAGAGAAGGTCAGGGAGCGAGGAACAGCCCTTACAAGACTGAACGCTGATGTCCGGGGCTCTGGCCGTCCCGCCCCTTGGGGAGGTGGCCAGGGGACGGGCCCAAGAGCAGGGCCCCTGCCCTCCACCCCATGGGGCGGCCCCTGCCCGCCTCCTGCACCCCACACCCCACATCTCGCCGGAGCCAGCTGCTGCCACTCAGACTGGCAGCCCCCTTGAGGCTGGCGGGTCAGCAGGGAGGGACCCCACGG